CATCCTCTCAGATCGTGGTCCCCAATTTGTCTCACAGGTTTGGAAGGCTTTCTGTTCTGCTCTAAATTGTAAAGTGTCACTAACTTCTGGCTATCATCCCCAGTCAAATGGTCAAACTGAGAGGATGAACCAACACCTCGAATCCACCCTCCGCTGTCTCACCTCCAATAATCCCACCGATTGGAGTCTATATCTCACCTGGATAGAATACGCCCATAACTCACTCAAGTCTGCATCTACCGGTCAGTCTCCCTTCCAAGTTAGCCTCGGCTACCAACCACCTCTCTTCCCTGCAGACGAGAGAGAGATATCGGTGAAGACTGTCAATCACCACATCCGTCGTTGCCAGCGTGTTTGGAGAGAGACCATCCAAGCACTCAACCGTTCCTCTGAGTCCTCTAAGAGGTTCACAGACCCCAAGAGACGTCCAGCCCCCGAGTACAAGGTCGGCCAGGAGGTCTGGCTGTCCACCCGGGACATCCCCTTGAGGGGACCCAGGTCCAACTTTCTGTTGTTACTTTGGGTTTCTATTTTTACTTTTTGGGGCACGGGATTTGAGGGCCTTTAACTCTTTTTCTCTTCGCAGAAGATCTGAAGAAGCCGAACCAAGAAAAGCTAAATCGGAGAGAATTGATAAATAAAATAACTTTTTTGAACCCTCATCTTTTGTCTCGTGTCCTCAAATATGTTGTGCCCTTGGTGGACGTAACATATTTATGTTACGCAAATTATCCCCGAGATTCATCGGCCCATACAAGATCACTCGAGTCATCAACCCCTCCGCCGTCCGTCTTCAACTTCCCCCGACACTCAGGATTCACCCTACGTTCCACGTCTCCCAGGTAAAACCAGTCATCTCTAGTCCCATTTGCCCTCCATCCGACTCCCCTCCACCCGCCCTGGAAGTCGATGGACATCCGGCCTTCACCGTTCGCCGGATCGTGGACTCCCGTCGGCGAGGTCGCGGTTGGCAGTACCTCGTCGACTGGGAGGGCTACGGTCCGGAGGACCGACAATGGGTTCCTGGTTCATACATCCTCGACCCTTCTCTCATCGAGGAGTATGAGCGTTCCCTCCCGTCTACCTCTTCCGCACCGCCAAGGGGGCGGTCGTTGAGGAGGGGGGTACTGTTGGGAGCTGGAGAAATACACCTTTTCTCCAGCAGAGTCCGCCCTGGATCCTCCCTGCTGAGCTGCTCTGCACACCTGCAGCTGATGATCTCATCTGGAGGACCTGGACTACTTAAGCTGCCTTCAGACCTTGCCTCGAAGCCGCAGTGTCTTAATCAGTTGGTTAGCACTTAAGCCGTAGATCCCTAGTGAACCAAGTTTCCTTTGAGTCCAACCTGGATTCTAACCTTTTTGTCTCTGCTTCCAGGTTTCCGGTTTTTTCCTCCTGTGAAGCTCTGGAAGAGCTTAACCTGCCGAGCCAGCCCTCCGAGCCAAACCTGAAGACTCACTCTCTGGATTTCCTAGCAGCTCAGGTTTCCGAGCTGTAAACACAAGCCAAGGTCAAACCAGCCTTTAGAAGTAAGACGCTGAAACAGCTTAAGGACTCTGCCAAACCAAGCTTTCTCCGGACCCAACAGTTCCGCTCCCAAAGCCTCCTCTACATCCATCAAGGTACAAATCTGAACACAATCAAGTCAAGTCTCTGCCAAGCCTTCGCTAACCAAACTGTCTCTCTCACAGACGCCAGTGAACCGGTCCCAGCCCTGAACCATTGCATCAGTCTTTATTATATGTTTGAACTTGCAAATAAACTCTGTTAAACTTTCCATCCGTGTCGTCAGTGTTCTGCACATTGGGCCTCCCTGATACCCATCATGACAGCAGCGCTGGGCGCAGTGTCACGTGACCAACTGAGCTAATTTCATTGGCTAGAAGCTGCTCGACTCTATCGACTGTAGATCGCTTTGGCTTGAGTTCAGCAAAAGGTCAACACACTTTTGCGGCTGAATTTTTTTCTGGTGAATTTTTACCAGATAAAAATTGAGTGTAAGGAATTCAATGTCTAAAAAAATTCAGTGTTTAAAATTTGGTGTTAAAAAAGGCAGAATCCAATGAGACTGTTTTTCTTCCATAACAATGATCCTTTACTTCTTGATAACTGGCGACCTATTGGCCTTCTTAACACTGACTATAAAATATTAGCCTTAATGATGCTAAAAGGTTAAAATCAACTCTTCACTCAATCATTGACGAAACTCAATCTGGATTTATGAAAAATCGGCATATCACAAACAACATAAGACTTGTTCTGGATATCTTAGATTATCCTGATGTTTCTGATCATGGATTTATTTTATTTTTAGATTTCTATAAGGCTTTTGACGCTGTCGAACATGGGTTTATATTTCAAAGTTTAGAAAAGTTTGGATTTGGACTGCATTTTATAACAATTATCGAAACTCTGTATCAGAACAGCAGCTGTTATATGTATACATACAGATATACATGTATATATGTATGTATGTATACGTATACATACATACATACAGATATACATGTATATCTGTATGTATGTATATATACATACATACATGTATATATACATACATACATATGTATGTTTACATACATATATACATGTATATCTGTATGTATATATGTATGTATGTATATATACATGTATATATGTATATATACATACATACATACATACATACATACAGATATACATGTATATATGTATGTAAACATACATATATACATACAGATATACATGTATATCTGTATGTATATATGTATGTATGTATATATACATACATACATACATACAGATATACATGTATATCTGTTTGTATGTATGTATACATATACATACATACAGATATACATGTATATCTGTATGTATGTATACGTATACATACATACAGATATACATGTATATATGTATGTATACATACATACATATATACATGTATACATACATACAGATATACATGTATATCTGTATGTATATATGTATGTATGTATATATACATACATACATATATACATACAGATATACATGTATATCTGTATGTATATATGTATGTTTACATACATATATACATGTATATCTGTATGTATGTATACGTATACATACATACAGATATACATGTATATATGTATACATACATACATATATACATGTATACATACATACAGATATACATGTATATCTGTATGTATGTATATATGTATGTATGTATGTATGTATATATACATACATACATACATACATATATACATACGATATACATGTATATCGTATGTTGTATACGTATACATACTTTACATTTATACATCATTATACATACAACTGTGGTGGGAAAAAGTATACAACATTCATCCTTTAGTTAAATAAAGGGAGACGATGGATTTAAATCAGTGGGCACATTTATTAAAATTTTGCAAAGAGAGAACGTCACAGGGCACACTTTTGCTCTGTTCTGATCTGGCGGGGTTCGTTCCCCCTTGTTACAACAATCGAAAGCGGGTTCAGAGTCATAAAAAATTACACACACTTTGTTTAACATAACTGTTAAGAATAAGCGATTTTCACACCGGGGGCAGTGGCGCGACAGAACAGGGGTTTTTACTTTTGCAAAGTCAATGGTTGACGCGCGCAAGGGAGAAAATGCCCCCGCGGGGTTTTTTGAGCAAAAAAGCCAGGCGTCTGAGCACCAAAGGGCAGCGCTGGGGCGCTTTTTGGCACTACGCCGCGACCGCCGAAACGGCTGCTGCTCGAGAGGGAAAAAATTTAAATTTTTTTTGCTGCTAAAACCAATCAGAGAAGCTGATTGGGAGCTGGTGGGGAGGGGACACAGCGCTGATGACACAGACCGCTCGATTACTCCTCTTAAACAGTTTATTAACGCACAATTAACTTAAAATATATCATCGGGCCGGGAAGAATAGTTCGCTTTTTTTATCCTGATGCCCGCAGATGGGATTTTTAGATGAAAAACACCTACCAGCCGCCGCGGTAAACCAAGGAGGCGACCAGCCAGAGGCGTGATGAAGGGATTCCTTCTGTCGGCGAAAAGCGGTATGTGGGGGGTCTGAGCGGCTCCGACAGAAAAAATTTTGGAGACGGGATTGAATCTGGATGAACTGACGCCTGAGAATTTTTCAGGTGTATTTTCTCATTTAAAAAATTTTAAAAATATTTATTCCCATGCAAAAAATAAGCTGCAAGCAGAGAAAGGTAGTGAAGCCCCCCAAGGGGCGTCAAAACCCACTTTTGGACCGCTCAGGAGAGCAGCAAAGTGCATCAGCGGCTCAGAATTCACTGGTCCCCAAACGAAAAAATGAAGCACAACGCTTTTGTGCTTTTGCTCCCCGGTTGAACCAGATTCCTTGAAAAGAATTGGATTGTTATGGAAGAAGCTATTCGGTTACAAAAAAACATTCGCAGGATGGTTGGCCTTGAGAGAGAAACAGACTAAGTGAAAACTTTTATAGTGAGTAAATATGAATATTAATATATAAATAGAGAAAGATATAAATTTTCCCACAACAATACATACAACATACAACTTAGAATAGGACACACTGGATTGAATAGATGGTTATTTTTCATCAGACAGGGAAATGAAACTGTGGAACGTGTCATTTTGAATTGTAGTAAATTTTGGATCCAGAGAAACAGGTTAATGAGGAAACTTAGTGACATGAAAAAAAACTTTTGGGTTTTTGCAAAAGGGAAATCGGAAGAAAGGGGGATGCGGGTTATATTAGAATTTTTGAAACAGATTAGGTTGTATAATAGAATATAGTTTTTTTTTGTTTTTTTTTTCTGCCATGTGGTTCACACTCCATACCAGTTGGTGGCGGTAATGCTCAACTAACGTTTTTTGCCAACCGCCATTATAACTAAAAAAGAAGAAGTTCTAGTTCAGAGCAAAAGGTTCCACTGCTGCTTCGGAACCATGAAGCTTCTGGGTCGAACCGGAGCCCCCCTTTTGCGCTCGGGCCCGGTGGGCCCCTGCGACTGCAGAACCAAACCGGGGGGAAGGGGGTTGCGGGGTGGGTTCCGGTGCTCCCGGTACCGGAGCCTCTGACCGTCCGAGCCTCCGAGCTCAGCGTGAGTGTTGCACCGAGAGACCGGAGCCGGTGTGACGGGTCAGCTGGTGACAGATTAACTGCGGACCGCAGATGATACTGAAGCTTAGGTGGCCGTGTTGATGCCTGACGAAAAAATATTCCTAACGTAACAAAACATCCGAAACATCAACTGACATATCTAATAATGAATTTCTGTTTGTTTGTTTTTAAATTTAATCGATGGGGCAAAAAAATTTTAAAACCCAGAAAGCAAAGTGCAAAGAATCCCCCCCAGAGAACGCGGCTTTAACAAGTTAAAGAAAAATAAAGTCTGTCTCACTGGAGCATTTTCCTGCTGAAGCGAAAACAAAATAAAACCTCAGTGGAGACATTTATAAACCCTGAATGTAAATTTAAATAAAGAGGTTGTCATTCAGGAAAAACAACACTTCTTTTAAAGCTACAGTGTGTAATAATTAAGGGATAACAGCAAAATGTAATAATTTATTAACTATGTTATTTACATCATCAAAGAGTCAGCCTCTTAAAATTAATATTTGCGTTTCCTTAGAATTCATTTTCAAAAATTACATAGGACGGGGCTCGCAGCCATGGAGGCAGACATCTTTCGTACGCACGCAGGCCAAAAAAAATAGCGATTGCGAGATCGCCCCTACCCTCGCCCATTTTGCACATGACTGGATCCTGGCCACAGCAATCCTCTCCCCCCGGCCGAGGCATGTCCCAGCAGTTACCACAAGTAAAGTAAAATTCTATGTAAACAAACCCCTCACTTAGAAGGGAGGGGATGCAGACGTCTGGGAAAACATTTTGTCCCGTAAAAGCTCGCCTTTCTGGTGGGGGGGGGGAGTTCATGTTGCGCGGCTGCAGTCTGACCCCTAGATTCCCCGAAAATTACACTTAGCTTTAAGCAGAACTTTTCAGGAAAAACGAACAATCTGATTTTCCTCCTTCCAACTAAACCCCAAATTTTTTTTTAATTTTTGAAAAAAGTTATTTTCTTGTAGAGATTAATTGCGCTCATGTTTTCCTTTATTCTCCTATTTGGACCAAATCCAAGTCCACGCAGTGATTTTTTATTTGGGTCCCAAATGCCTCAGATAACTATCAGGTCTGCTTTTGGGAAAAACCTTTATTTTTTTTCTATTGGTTCAGTTGTTTTTTAATTCCTTTTTAGAGCTAACGAACTGCGCTGAACTGGTTTTTAAAAGCCCCATATCTACAAAAAATTTTTTATTTTAAGGTGTTGTCATAAAAAATTTGAATATCATGAAAAATAATTTTATTTCAGTAAATTTCCCTTTAAAAAGTGAAACTTGTATTTATATTCATACATTACAACAAACCCCATAATTTAGATGTTTATTTTTTTTTAATTTTGATGATTACAAATGACAACAAATGAAAAAATTTAAAATTTATCATTCAGAAAATTAGAATATTGTGAAAAGGTTCAAAAATTTATGGCCCCGGGCCACACTCTAATAGCTAGTTAACCAAACCACCTGCAAAAGCCTTTTAAAAGGCTTTCAGTCTGTTCTATAGGTACACAATATGGGGAAAAACTGCACGACAGTTGTCCAAAAGACGACCTCGACACCTTGCACAAGGAGGGCAAACACAAAAAGGTCATCGTAAAGAGGCTGGCTGTTTTACAGACTCATGCCAACACATTAAAAAGAGAGGCGAAGGGGGGAAAGGAAAAAATGGGTCGAAAAAAAAAGGACAAGAAGAGAGATAACCGCACCCCGGGAGGATTTTTGAAACAAAACCCTTCAAAAATGTGGGGAATTCACAAAAGTGGACTCGCTGGATTTAGTGTTCAAGAACCACCACACACAGAGTATGAAAAACTTTGGGGTTTCTCTTCGCATTCCTTGGTCAAGCCATCTTGAACCACAGACGCGTCAGAAGCGTCTTGCCTGGCTAAAGGAAACAGGACTGGACGCTGGTGAGTGGGCCCAAAATCATGTTCCTGATGAAAGTAAATTTTGCATTTCCTTTTGGGAAACAAGGTCCCAGAGTCTGGGAAAAGAAGAGAGGCACTTCATCCACGTTTTTTAAGTCCCTGTAAAGTTTCCCCAGTCAGTGATGGTTTGGGGGGGCCATGTCATCTGCTGGTGTTGGTCCATTGTGTTTTCTGAGGTCCAGGGTCAACCGCCACATACCCCGGAAATTTTGAGCACTTCTGCTTCCGCAGCTGACCCCAAATTTTTTAATGCAGATTTAATTTTCCAACAGGACTTGGCACCTGCACACAAGCCAAACTACCAGTACCCGGTTAAGGGGCCATGGTATCCCGTTTTTAAATTGGGCCCCAAACTCTCCGACCTTTCCCCATAGAAAATTATGGGGATTTTGAAAAAGAAGATGCAATACACCAACCCCAAAAATTCGAAGACTAAAAACCCCATTAGAGCAACCTGGGGTATCATAACACCTGAGCATGCCACAAGATCGACTCCATGCCGCCCCATTGTGCAGAATACAGGCCAAGGAGGCCCAAAAAATCTGAGTCTGTACATGCCCCTACTTTTTAGTTCATACTTTTTAGTTGGCCCAAAATTTCTTAAAACCCGTTTTTATTGGTCTTTTATAATATTCTAATTTTCTGATATATGAATTTGAGTTTTATTTGTTGTCATTTGTAATCATCAAAATTAAACAAAATAAACATCTGAAATATTTGATTTGTATTAATGTATGAATATAATATACAAGTTTCACTTTTTAAATGGAATTACTGAAATCAATCTACTTTTTCATGATATTCTAATTTTATGACCACCACCTGTAGGCTCTTTGCAGCGAATAGAATCTGAATCTACCTGTTGATGCGGAAACTTTTTATGTTTTCACAGTAGAATTTAAATCCTAGAGTTAGCAGCTGGCTATGAGTCGCCATGGCTGCTTGATGTTAGTTCTTGTAGAAAAATGCAGATATTCTTAACGATGAACTAGATTAATTTGTGACAAACGGGGTCCACAGCACAGCTGTTTGGAGAGATTAGTTGGCTGCGTGGTTGCCTGATCAAAATGCCGCAGAATTAAACAAATGGGTTAGAATAAATGTTCTAATTTATCCTGGCCTAATATCTATCCAACACACGTCTGTGGATAATGTGAAATATTATGAGTAATTTAAGTTCGGGGATCAAATAAAGGATCTGAAAGCGTCAGAATCTGCAGCGTGTCACAGATTAACTTGTGATCCAGGAGGATCTGGAGGAATATGGGCTGAAAAACACTCTGGATATTATCATCTTATCCTCCATTAGGGTTGCAGCAGACTACTTTAAATTATTTATTATTGATTATTTTTCTTGCTGCAGTTATGAACCCGTCATGAACCGTAACCATGTTCAGTCAGCTGTCATCTTATTCCTTCTATTGTTTTCAGGACGCCACATTTTTTGGTTTGCAAGCAGAAAAACTTTAAATAATTCACGTTTATTAAGTTACTGGCATTAGAATATTGCTTTGTCTACTTTTTACTTTTAGTCTAAATAGTTTGCTTCACTGGTAAAATTAGAAGAACTAATAAACCACTCATCACAAAACGCTACCAGCGAGGAAATGTTTGTCATTTCAGAGTTAGGAAATAATATTATCTCGCCCATCTGTGGAAAATCTGTTAAAATAAATCGAGGGCATGAAGCTACCTGTGAATTCGAACCCGCGGCCGACTTCGTATTTCCTTGCAAGGCGTCCCTTTACCTGCCGAGCTGTTGATAACCCTAACCCACCGTCCCCATGCCCAAAATATCACATTTATTCACACAATATGAACCGACTGCAGAGGTTTCACTTTTCCCTGCAGCTGTTCTGTTTTTCTGCTTTGTTCCTGAAACACAAATTAAACTTTAAAGACATTTCTAACTCCTCTGGAAACGAGTTGGACTGTAAATAATTAGTTTCCCTCCATATTAACAGTTTTTGAGAACAGAAAGAGGAAACATTTATTTTCACTCGTTTTAATTTTCAAGCCATACAGGAAGACAGAAAAAAGGAAACATTACGCCGTTAGTTGTTTTTCCTTCTACTCGGTTCTTTCTCTCATCACTCTGAAACAAACAGATCAACAACAGCAGGAAGAGTTCTTCTAATCTCTGCAGGTTTGGATAAAACACTAAAACATTCTTTATACTTTCTTAATGCAATTAAATACCTTTGCGACGACAACTTATTAACATCTCAACGTATTTCGTATCGATCTGATGACACAATTTGTAGTTCTTGGAGTTTACAGCAGTTTACTTCCTGTTTGGGGAGAGGGGTCCTGAAAAGCCCCGCCCACAGACACATCTGCAAAAATCAGCAGTTTTCCAGCTGCTGTCACCAGTTGATCTGTCACACCGGTTCTGGGAACTAATGATTCAGTAGAGACTGGAGGTGGTTCTGGGAACTAATGATCCTGCAGAGACTGGAGGTGGTTCTGGGAACTAATGATCCAGTAGAGACTGGAGGTGGTTCTGGGAACAAATGATTCAGTAGGGAGTGAGGTGGTTCTGGGAACTAATGATCCAGTAGAGACTGGAGGTGGTTCTGGGAACTAATGATTCAGTAGGGACTGGAGGTGGTTCTGGGAACTAATGATCCAGTAGGGGCTAGAAGTGGTTCTGGGAACTAATGATTTGGGAACTAATGATCCAGTAGGGGCTAGAGGTGGTTCTGGGAACTAATGATCCAGTAGGGGCTAGAAGTGGTTCTGGGAACTAATGATCCAGTAGGGGCTAGAAGTGGTTCTGGGAACTAATGATCTGGGAACTAATGATCCAGTAGGGGCTAGAAGTGGTTCTGGGAACTAATGATCTGGGAACTAATGATCCAGTAGGGGCTAGAAGTGGTTTTGGGGCTGCATGTAGAACCTGGGTCTGATCTAAGGTCCTTCCAGCAGAAACTCTGCAAACAGTAAAGGTTCTGCAGAACCTGCAGCTCTGACCTCAGCAGCACCTGGACTATCTGACGAACCGGGTCAGAACCAGATGGTTGGAGGTCTACTGAGAACAGATCTATGCATAATAGGTCTTTATAGAACAGATCTGTGTAAACAGATCTTTATAGAACAAATCTATGCATAATAGGTTTTTATATGAACAGATCTGTGTAGAATGGGTCTTTATTGCAGAGGTCTTTATAAAACAAGTCTTTATAGAACAGATCTATGTAGACTAGATCTTTATAGAACATTTTTTATAGAACAGATCTATGTAGAACAGATCTACGATTAATAGGTTTTTATAGAACAGATTTGTGTAGAATAAATCTTTATAGAACATATCTTCATAGAATATATTTTTTTAGAACAGATCTATGCATAATAGATCTTAATAGAACAGATCTTTTTAGAATATATCTATGCATAATAGGTCTTTATAGAACAGATCTGTGTGGAATAGATTTTCTAGATCAGATCTTTCTAGAACAGATCTATGCATAATAGGTTTTTATAGAACGGATCTGTGTAGACCAGATCTACAGAGAACCGGATGTCTGGCTTTGGATCAGAACCAGGCTACAGTTGAAGATGCGAAGCTGATGACCTGAACAGAACCGGGTCAGACCAGAGGAATCAGCAGGTCCGTTTGTTCTCAGAATCTGGGTTCCATCATCAGGACTTCAGCTTTAGGCTCTTTAATTTGAAACGCTGGGATGTTTAGAGAAACAGGAAGCAGCATCAGAGGCTAACTTCCTGTGGTTGCTACGCTACATACCATCATTTAAAGGAAAATTCCGGTTTTTAACACTTTTAGCCCATTTTCTGTAGTGTCCAGGATGAAATCGAATGATCGACACCAAAATGTTGACAATTGGTCCTGTCTCTGCTTTTTGGCTCATGCAGAATCCCCCCCTGGCTGCTTCAGAATGGCTTCCATAGAGCATGTCCGATAATGTCCTTAAAACAACCTTAAACGTTCTTTTTTTAAAATATGCTACTCACCGGGTCGTCAGCGCTGTTCAATGACGTTCCAAAAAAAGTTTCGTAAAGAAAAACCGTTCCTGTCTTGTTTTATTTAGCATTTTGTAAATCCCAGAACTATTTTTTCCGATACATCACAACCGCTTATAAACTTCCGCTTCCCGTTCGAATCTGAAGCGTTGCACACTCCAGACCACTAGTTGGCGACGGTATCCTCTACCGTCAAACTCAAAGTCCAATATGTCCTCCTCAAGAATCCACCTTTCGTATTCCATTTTCAGAGTTTTTTTAAGTGTTTAACAGAGACGTTAGCACCTCGACGTCGGAGTACACAGAGTGAAGCGAAAAGACTACAACTGTGTAAACAGGCCCCATTTCCGTTTCCGGTGGCGGAGGGATATTGACTATTCCAACAGAACTCAATGGGATTTACAAAATGCTAAATAAAACACTACAGGAACGTTTTTTCTTCACGAAACTTTTTTTGGAACGTCATTGAACAGCGCTGACGACCCGGTGAGTAGCATATTTTAAAAAAAGAACTTTTAAGGTTGTTTTAAGGACATTATCTGACATGCTCTATGCAAGCCATTCTAAAGCAGCCAGGGGTGGATTCTAAATGAGCCAAATAGCAGAGACAGGACCAATTGTCAAACTTTTGGTGTCGATCATTCGATTTCATCCTGGACACTACAGAAAATGGGCTAAAAGTGTTAAAAACCGGAATTTTCCTTTAATGCAGCAAAACACACTAGAAAGAAGTTTGAAGCAGATATTTACATGGATGCAGAAGGATTAGATGCTGCAAGCTCTGCCGCTACAAGAACAACCAGAACAGAGAGAGGAGGAGGAGCAGGCTGCAGCTCTGATCACAGCTGGAGGAGGTGACATCTAGTTCCTTCTTTTCTGACCCGTCATTATTCAGGAGGCCCTGATTGAAACCTTCTGATGGTGGCGTCGATCATAGCGGCTTCATAGACCATTAAACTCCTCCCCCATCTACCACCAGCCCCCCGCTGCTGTTTCCTATTGAACTCCGTGACCATGGCGAACGCTTTGATGGCGTTTAGCTGGTTTACGGGTGCCTGTTGGAGACCCGTCGCTCCCCGAACTTCTAATCTTGCGTCAGAAGCAGAGTTCATTCTATTCTTCCAAAATGGCCACGCTGATCGGGGTCTGCAGCCCAAGGTGGAGAAGAGATGGTCTAGTAGACCATCTGAACATCTGGACCTCCTCAGGTTAGACGGAGGTCTGGATGTCCTGATAGCTCAGTGGGGAAACATCTTCAGAACTTTAGTTCTGCACAAACGGATCCAGATCGGATCAGAGGATGTTGGAGAACTGGGCGAGTTACACCGGTGGTTCCTAACAGAACCTAAAGCAGGTCCAGCAGACCTACGGACCCATCAGCTGATGGTAGGCTGGGTGGTTCTGACCCAAACCTTCAGCTGACCAGCTGTTGTTCTGATCCAGGTGAGTCCAGGTAATTCTGGAGCTGTGATGAAGTACGGCTTCCCCTCTTTGGCCAACATCAAGTCCAGGGAGTCCTATGTCACATCCTACGATCCTCGCACACGCACTGCATCCTGGGTAATAGAGCGGCTGGACCCCGCCTCCCTGAAAGGACCGTCAGACAGGAAGTTCTGCGAGTTCAAAGAGGACGACAGGTGAGTAGAAGCTCGACAGGTGGGTCACATGGCGTGGCGCAGTCTAAAAGGATGTGTGTCGTCCACAGCGTCCACATCTTCCACAGAGCCACCAACGCCGACTACAGGGGGAGTGGCTTCGACCGCGGCCACCTGGCTGCTGCAGCCAATCACAAGTGGAGTCAAAAGGCCATGGAAGACACCTTCTACCTGAGCAACGTGGCTCCACAGGTGAGTCTGTAGAGGTCTGATCAAGTGGACAGCCTGAAACAAACACGGCTGTACAGGTCACACCTGCTCAGGTGTATGAGGCTCCTCCCACATCTGCCTAGAGTGAACTATAGGAACTAGAGGAACAAGAACTAAAGGAACTAGAGGAACAGGAACTAAAGGAACTATAGGAACAAGAACTATAGGAACTATAGGAACAAGAACTATAGGAACTACAGGAACAAGAACTATAGGAACTATAAGAACAGGAACTATAGGAACAGGAACTAAAGGAACTAGAGGAACAAGAACTATAGGAACTAGAGGAACAGGAACTAAAGGAACTAGAGGAACAGGAACTATAGGAACTACAGGAGCAAGAACTATAGGAACAGGAACTAAAGGAACTAGAGGAACAGGAACTAAAGGAACTAGAGGAACAGGAACTATAGGAACTAGAGGAACAGGAACTAAAGGAACTAGAGGAATAGGAACTATAGGAACTACAGGAACAAGAACTATAGGAACAGGAACTAAAGGAACTAGAGGAACAGGAACTAAAGGAACTAGAGGAACAGGAACTATAGGAACAGGAACTAAAGGAACTAGAGGAACAGGAACTATAGGAACAGGAACTAAAGGAACTAGAGGAACAGGAACTATAGGAACAGGAACTAAAGGAACTAGAGGAACAGGAACTAAAGGAACAGGAACTAAAGGAACTATAGGAACAAGAACTATAGGAACTATAGGAACAAGAACTATAGGAACTACAGGAACAAGAACTATAGGAACTATAAGAACAGGAACTATAGGAACAGGAACTAAAGGAACTAGAGGAACAAGAACTATAGGAACTAGAGGAACAGGAGCTAAAGGAACTAGAGGAACAGGAACTATAGGAACTACAGGAGCAAGAACTATAGGAACAGGAACTAAAGGAACTAGAGGAACAGGAACTAAAGGAACTAGAGGAACAAGAACTATAGGAACTAGAGGAACAGGAACTATAGGAACTAGAGGAACAGGAACTAAAGGAACTAGAGGAATAGGAACTATAGGAACTACAGGAACAAGAACTATAGGAACAGGAACTAAAGGAACTAGAGGAACAGGAACTAAAGGAACAGGAACTATAGGAACAGGAACTAAAGGAACTAGAGGAACAGGAACTATAGGAACAGGAACTAAAGGAACTAGAGGAACAGGAACTATAGGAACAGGAACTAAAGGAACTAGAGGAACAGGAACTAAAGGAACAGGAACTAAAGGAACTATAGGAACAAGAACTATAGGAACAAGAACTATAGGAACTACAGGAACAAGAACCATAGGAACTATAAGAACAGGAACCATAGGAACAGGAACTAAAGGAACTAGAGGAACAAGAACTATAGGAACTAGAGGAACAGGAACTAAAGGAACTAGAGGAACAGGAACTATAGGAACTAGAGGAACAGGAACTAAAGGAACTAGAGGAATAGGAACTATAGGAACTACAGGAACAAGAACTATAGGAACAGGAACTAAAGGAACTAGAGGAACAGGAACTAAAGGAACTAGAGGAACAGGAACTATAGGAACAGGAACTAAAGGAACTAGAGGAACAGGAACTATAGGAACAGGAACTAAAGGAACTAGAGGAACAGGAACTATAGGAACAGGAACTAAAGGAACTAGAGGAACAGGAACTAAAGGAACAGGAACTAAAGGAACTATAGGAACAAGAACTATAGGAACTATAGGAACAAGAACTATAGGAACTACAGGAACAAGAACTATAGGAACTATAAGAACAGGAACTATAGGAACAGGAACTAAAGGAACTAGAGGAACAAGAACTATAGGAACTAGAGGAACAGGAACTAAAGGAACTAGAGGAACAGGAACTATAGGAACTACAGGAGCAAGAACTATAGGAACAGGAACTAAAGGAACTAGAGGAACAGGAACTAAAGGAACTAGAGGAACAAGAACTATAGGAACTAGAGGAACAGGAACTATAGGAACTAGAGGAACAGGAACTAAAGGAACTAGAGGAATAGGAACTATAGGAACTACAGGAACAAGAACTATAGGAACAGGAACTAAAGGAACTAGAGGAACAGGAACTAAAGGGACTAGAGGAACAGGTACTAAAGGAACTAGAGGAACAGGAACTAAAGGAACTAGAGGAACAAGAACTATAGGAACTAGAGGAACAGGAACTATAGGAACTAGAGGAACAGGAACTAAAGGAACTAGAGGAACAGGAACTAAAGGAACTAAAGGAACAAGAACTATAGGAACTAGAGGAACAGGAACTATAGGAACTAGAGGATCAGGAACTAAAGGAACTAGAGGAACAGGAACTAAAGGAACTAGAGGAACAGGAACTATAGGAACAGGAACTAAAGGAACTAGAGGAACAGGAACTAGAGGAACAGGAACTATAGGAACTATAGGAACAGGAACTATAGGAACTACATGAACAGGAACTAGAGGAACAGGAACTAAAGGAACAAGAACTATAGGAACTATAGGAACAGGAACTAAAGGAACTAGGGGAACAAGAACTAAAGGAACTATAGGAACAAGAACTATAGAAACTAGAGGAACAGGAACTATAGGAACTACAGGAACAAGAACTATAGGAACTATAAGAACAGGAACTATAGGAACTACAGGAACTACAGGAACAAGAACTATAGGAACTATAAGAACAGGAACTACAGGAACAAGAACTATAGGAACTAGAGGAACAAGAACTATAGGAACTAGAGGAACAGGAACTATAGGAACTAGAGGAACAGGAACTAAAGGAACTAGAGGAATAGGAACTATAGGAACTACAGGAACAAGAACTATAGGAACAGGAACTAAAGGAACTAGAGGAACAGGAACTAAAGGAACTAGAGGAACAGGAACTAAAGGAACTAGAGGAACAAGAACTATAGGAACTAGAGGAACAGGAACTATAGGAACTAGAGGAACAGGAACTAAAGGAACTAGAGGAACAGGAACTAAAGGAACTAGAGGAACAAGAACTATAGGAACTAGAGGAACAGGAACTATAGGAACTAGAGGAACAGGAACTAAAGGAACTAGAGGAACAGGAACTAAAGGAACTAGAGGAACAGGAACTATAGGAACAGGAACTAAAGGAACAGGAACTAGAGGAACAGGAACTATAGGAACTATAGGAACAGGAACTATAGGAACTACATGAACAGGAACTAGAGGAACAGGAACTAAAGGAACAAGAACTATAGGAACTATAGGAACAGGAACTAAAGGAACTAGGGGAACAAGAACTAAAGGAACTATAGGAACAAGAACTATAGAAACTAGAGGAACAGGAACTATAGGAACTACAGGAACAAGAACTATAGGAACTATAAGAACAGGAACTATAGGAACTACAGGAACAAGAACTATAGGAACTATAAGAACAGGAACTACAGGAACAAGAACTATAGGAACTATAGGAACTACAGGAACAAGAACTATAGGAACTATAAGAACAGGAACTACAGGAACAAGAACTCTAGGACCTAGAGGAACAGGATTTACATGAACCAAATGAAATCGAACGGCAGGAACAGGAAGTAGCAGCTATTATTTGAGGTACTGGTCTCGTGTCAAAAAGCGTTTTTTAAACCAGCTCTCAGACCAGTCTCTCGGCTTTCCATTCTGGTTCTGACCCCTCTGGGTCAATCAGCTGATGGGTCAGAATGTTGGACTTTTCTCCACCAGAACCCTAACCTGAACCAGAACACGTGGAACAATCTGGAGAAGCTGTGCCGCTCCCTGACCAAACACTACCTCAACGTGTATGTGTGCACTGGGCCGCTCTACCTGCCCAGGTAAGCCTACCTGACCTGGCATACCCTTCCCAGAGGGGGTGGAGCTTACATTCCTCTTTTTATTTCAGGCAGGAAGATGATGGGAAGCTGTACGTGAAGTACCAGGTGATTGGGCGGAATCACGTTGCCGTGCCTACACATTTCTTCAAGGTAGGAGTCGACTACCTGATGATGTCACCAGCACACCTTTAAGTCTTCTGAATCTGAGAGGCCGTGTTCTCCTCAGGTGCTGATTCTGGAGCAGACCGACGGCAAGGGGGTGGAGCTTCGCTCCTACGTTCTCCCAAATGAACCCATCGATGAGAAGGTTCCTCTTGAACGTTTCCTGGTTCCAATAGAAACCATTGAGCGTGCGTCTGGACTCCTGTTTGTCCCAAACATCATGAGGAGGACCGGCAAGCTGCAGGCTATCAGCAATAAGTGAACTACAGTACCCACAATCCCCTGCTGCACTCACTAAGCATGGAGGCCCATTCTTGGACTTGTTTCTTATTAAAGTCATCTGATTGAAAGTGTGCAGTCGGGTCATTGGTGGGTTCGGCTGGGTTTCAGGTTCTGGGTTCCAGTGGGAGGAGCCTGTGAGCAAAGGAAGGCTTGAGGCACTAAACAGCACAGTGGAAGCTGTTCCACAGCAGGGGGAGGGGCCCATCTGCCTTGACCCGGCTGATGAGAGTCACCCCAAGAAAGGCCCCGGGCCCCGATAACATGCCAGGGTGGGTGTGCAGGTAGTTCTTACAAACAGACAGTAAAAGTCGTCTAAGTGATGGTGCTGATCAGACCCGAACGCCTCAACCAGGAAACACATTTAATTAAAAAACTGAATCTTTTCAATACATGGAGAATTTATAAACAAAAAATCTGTCCACTTCCTGTCAAGGCTTAAGCCCCTCCTATTCACAAATGGGGGCGGGGCCTGTGTTCTGATAGTGTTCAGCTGTTGTCCTCGTCTTCAACGTCAGAGTTAAAGATGTCTGACAGCTGGTATCGGTCCTGCTGCTGCTGCTCCTGTAGCTGCTCCTTTTTTCTGCAGGAGCTCAGCTTCTCCTGCAGAACCGGAACCAGGTGGTGGTACAGGAAGTCCATGATCTCTAAGGTTGGAGAAGAAGACGACACATGAGAAGCTAGCTTGTGTTCTAACATACAGTGGTAGCGGTTCAGAAGTTCCCCTTCAGGACTGGCGGTCTTTGGTTTCCAGCCCATCATGGAAAACGTTTTAACTGCTAATGCTGTAGCTGAGGAACATCTGAGGAACATCTGATCTGCTAACGGAACTGTTGCTCTACGCTGGTCCCTTACGTCTGACACAGAACCACAGTCTAACTGCAGCAGGTTCGGTCTGAAAGGTTCTGTGGAGAACAAGCAGCAGGCAGGTCAGAGAGGAGCTTCGAAATCAGCTTGGAGAATTTTCTCCAAGCTGGAACTTTTTTTCTATATGAAGCGCTTTCTTTAAATGTAGAACAACAAAATATCTTCAACAAGCAATCAGCAATAGATGTAGTCAGATTAGTCTGCCCAGAAGAAAGAGAACCATGGATCAAAAGTAAACGGAACAGAAGCGCTGCTTTGACTCAGGGTTCCACATCTACTGGACTGTGGAAGATTTATCAGGATTTACCTCTGATGATGAAGAACCAAGCCAAACGCCAACAAGGAACATTAAAATATGTTCTAAGTTATTTATCCGCTTTCGTCAGCAGATGAGATGTTTGTCAGGATCAGTCGGCCCAATAAAAAGCAGTCAAAATTTTAAAGGGATCTAAAACACAGCAGCCGTTTATTTTATTTTGGCCTTTATCAGCACCTGGGGGGTCTGGACTTCAGAAAACATCCTGGAAAACCAAGGCAGGAAACACCTAGATGCTTTATTACCGTATTTTCACGACTATAAGGCGCACATAAACGTCTTTTTTTTCCCTCAAAATGTGCGGTGCGCCCTTTGGTGCGGTGCGCCCTATGTGTGTTGTTACTGCGGACTTTTGAGACCACCTCATTGAGGAGATGATGAAAGAGTGGCTGAATGTAAGGAGACCAGGTGGTTTTTTTTCCACTCATCACCATCGCTGTTAATCTGTGACTCCATGCGTGCCCATCTCACAGCTGATGTGAAAAACATGGTGAAACAAATGAACGCTGTGCTCGCTGTTCAACCGCTCGACATCGGTGTGAACCGGACGCAGCAGGTGCAGCAGAAGCAGCGAGTTTACGTGCAAAGTCAATGGTTGACGCGCGTATAGGCGCAGCAAAAGGTCCCGCGGCGCGTTTTGAGCAGCAGGCGCAGCGCGTCCGGAGCGTTCCACGCTCTGGAGAAAAAAGCATCTGACGCGCCGCCAACGCGCTGCAGCTCGAGATGGAAAAATTGAAGTTTTGCTGCTGGACGCGCCGCATCAACCAATCAGAGAAGCTGATCTGGGAGCTGACAGCGAGACAGACACAGCGCTCTGATGGCAAATGAAAGGGCTGGATGGATGAGGAGATGATGAAAGCGTGGCTGAGGCAGGTGTATGTGAGGAGACCAGGTGGTTTTTTCCATGCATCACCAACCGGCCACTGATGACGGCTGCGAGCGGCGTGGGAGCGATGGATGACAGACGGAGACCACAGTTTCAGGATAAGTGGAAGGCAGCGCCGGGCGAGTTACGCCACCGTTAGCGGATGGATTGTTGATGCTTGGACTAACGTGTCTGCTGGCTCTGTTGTTCAAGCTTTCGCAAAAGCCAGCATTATTCCTGAGGAGCTGCGCTGCACGGAAAGTGACTCTGACAGCGAAGAAGGGGAAACTGTCATGTCTGATTTAGCGCAGCTGTTTAATTCAGAAACAGAGGATGATGACTTTGATGGGTTTGATTAATACTTTGTAATAAATACATGAATAAAGCACAATCATACTCAGTTTTGCTCCCGCTCTATTTTTCTACCTGAAAACTTAATTCAGCAGCAGCCTCTGGGCGGGTCTCCTCCTCTTCACCGCGGCGGCTGGCAGGTGTTTTTTCATCTAAATAATCTAAATCTTGCAGCTATATTTGCTGTGATCAGTGGGAATAAAGTAGTTTTAATATGTTTTTAAGTGAGAAAGTCCACCTGAAAACTTAATAATTGCAGTCAGTTCATCCAGATTATCATCCTGCCTTCTATACTATTTCTGTCGGAGGCGCTCAGACCCCCACATACCAGCGGTGCACCGACAGTAGGAATCCCGTCAACAGCAGCCTCTGGGCCGGGTCGCCTCCGGCGGCTGGCAGGTGTTTTTCATCTAAATAATTTAAACTGCAGGCACCAGGATACCGGTAATAAAAGCGAACATATTCCGTCAGCAGGTTTCAGGATTTTAAGTTAATTTAGGAGTAATCACAGCGCTGTGTCATCTGCGATGTCTCTGTCTAACGGCCAGCTCCCAGGTTTGATTAATACTTTTTAATAAATACATGAATAAAGCAGTCATACTCAGTTTTGCCCCCGCTGTATTTTTAAATACGCAGTAGAGGTATTTAAAGGTAGTAGAGGACATGTAACTGTATATAAAAAACGCGCCCTATAGTCCGGTGCGCCTTATGTGTGTGTTAAATACAGAAATGGGACACATAACTGAGAGTGCGCCTTTTAGTACGGTGCGCCTTATGGTCGTGAAAATACGGTAATAATGCATAGATCAGGTTTGAGAAATCTAAATTAGTTATCCCATTAACTAGTGTTCAAAACATCCATAGACCTACCCCCTTTTGTCTTCATACACTGTGCTGACTGATGTCATTAAATCTATTTTCTCATTATTTTCCTGTCTCGCTATTTTCAATTATCATTTAAAGGAATCCAACCAAATAATCTACCACAGATATAAAATATAATTCTAGCCCATCTTCATCAGACATGCTGCTTACCTTTAAAAACATCTGCTCTAAATAAGTAAATAAGTACCGTCTAATCAGTTTAGCTAACTTTTGTACTTTATCTGTATAAATTAATTTCCATTTTTGTAAAGTGCCTTGAGTTGTTAAGTGGGGCGCTATAAATATGGAGCATTTAAATACACCCAACACTGATCAGTGTGAACCATGTGAAAAGACTCTATAGCTGCATCATGTTGGCTGATTAGAACAATAAAGTGCAGCAATACTCACCCCCAAATGACAAAGATTGGAAATGTGGAACTTTTCGTACTTTCAGCCTGGTGAAGATCCGCTGGATGCCCCATGGACTCATCGTACTGGAAAGCAATACGACACTCAGTACTATCCGGTACTACAGCCGGTATCACTGAGCCATCTGAAGGCATTACTTTAGAGCTTAACCATTGACCTTACCCTACGGTCTCAGCAATCTCCTCCCAGTTGATGTCAGCTGCATCCTCCACAGCACTGTGGTACAACCTAGGAAGCAGAAAAGGTACGTAGAACCACCATCTCAGAACCGCTCCAGATCCCATAGAGTAATTTCTAACTTCTCCCAGAGTTAGAAGTCCTAGGAGAAGGAGTGGGTCATGTGACTGCCGTGTGACCTTACGTGTTAATGAGGCGGATTTTGGCCGAGTAACTTTCAGCTCCTCTGTTGAAGGCGTTTCTGTAAATGTTCATGCGGTGCTCCAGAATGAAGAGCCTGTAACATAAACATTACCAACATCAGCGTACTGTGGAAGCGCCACTACTATAAAGTACACACTAAAGAGTACTCTACCTGTGTGTTATTTGTTACTTATAACTGTGTGTTAGTATTTTTACACAGACCTAAAAGCAATCACCATCAGACAGCAGTTTGCAGAGAAGCTGATTATGTGGAGAGGAAGGAAAGCCTCCGTTAGGGTGGACATCTTTGAAAGAGCGCTTCTAGAACATTTCAATCAACCGCAGTAGATCATCACCATGTTAATTGTTTTAATTAAATTCTATTCAGTATATTTCTATAGCTCCAATTCACATCAGGTCATCTCAGGTCACTTTCCAGTTCACAAGATCATCCAGTCTGATTGATTCAAAGTTTTCTATCTAAGGAAAACCAGCTGATTGCATCGACTCATTGACTCTTCAGCAATCCCTCACACTAAGCATGCTTGTAGCGACAGTGGAGAGGAAAAACTCCCTTTGAACAGGAAGAAACCTCCAGCAGTATCAGGCTCAGTGTGAGCGGCCATCTGCTGAGGCCCACTGGGGTTCAAGGAGACAGAAGCAGACATAGAAAAAGAAGCATAGATACAAAAGGCAACTGTCAACCAGCTCCACAGGCGGCCCCGTCCAGGAAACACACAGCCAGGCAGACGAGCTCCGAGCCAGCTCCCATGTCAGAGGATGAAGAGAGCACATCCAGTTAGTCACAGTCAGAGAAACAGGACTACACTGGAAAACAGGCCAAGCTCCAACATCTAGAAACAAAGGTGTTGATGGCAGCAGCACAGCTGATATTTCTCTCCAGGATGGAGTCACAGCCAAACAGGGAAATGGGGTCAGAATAATTTTGCCAGGTGTTTTATGAAGTTTATTTCTTGACTTTATCAAAATGACTTGGTAATTGTGGCTCCCCTCCAGGAGGAGGCAGTCTTAGGCCAGATATGCTGCAGCTCGCCTGTATATTCAGGATTAATCTGCCAAAGAAGGCGGCCTGATAAAGAAAAGCCAAGCATAGAGAACCAACAGCCTCCTTTCTAGCAATCAATAGAGATGGGAAGCTTTGAGCTCCAGTGAATGTCTCTCTGTAGATGGAGCATTTAGCCATGAAGGGCTACCTGGCTAACAAGACTGACAGCCTGAACAGCTAACGGCTTGCATGTGCATAAAGGTGGACCAACAGCTTCCTGGTGTCCCTCTACTTTTACAGCTATGGAATAAAAACGTGATGAAATATTGAATTCCCTTGGAGCGACGTCAAAGTTATTTTTCCAGACTGTAATTATTTATTCAAAGAATATAGCTGGTTGATGATAAAGTTGAAATCCATCACTAAAACTTGTTAGACTAAAGGGCAAAGGTTAGCAGCAAAGCTATAGAGATAGCTCAGGATAACCTGAGCCACTCTAACTAGAGGGGGGGCAGCATCTGAGGTAGTCATGGAATCTGGACCGGGTTTAGACTGCTTTGATCCAGTTGAACTTTCAGAGTTAGCAAAACTATTGTCTTCATCAAAGCCTTCAACTTGGATGTTTGATCCAGTTCCAACCAGGTTATTTAAGGAGGTATTCCCTTTAACCAGCTTATTTAAGGAGGTATTCCGTTTAACCAGGTTATTTAAGGAGGTATTCCCTTTAACCATGTTATTTAAGGAGGTATTCCCTTTGATCTCCTCCTCCATTTTAGATGTGATTTGTAATTTGTAATTTTATTAAGGATCCCCATTAGCTGTTGCCATGGCAAACAGCTAGTCTTCCTAGGGTCCACATTAAAAACATACAGTAAAAAACAGTTACAAATATAAAAATGTCCAAACATGTAATTTCTTAAAATTACTATAGGAAGTACAAAAGAACAAGTAAAATAAAACAGCCAATAAAACAAGAACAAATATAATAAAACAGTCAATAAAACAAAAACACTTCAGGGCATCAAATGGAGTCTCAGATTCTTTTTAAAAGATAATTTACTCTCAGTGTAGCGGATGTAGTGAGGTAGATTATTCCAAAGGTGTAATGATCTATATATAAAGGATCTCTTTAGAGCATTGGTTTTTGGACCTGGTAAAACAAGCTGCCCAACAGGCTGCCCAAGAACCTCTAGTGTTGTGGTCATGAACAGAATTACTATAAACAATTTGTGAATGTATAAAAGCAGGAACATTACTGCTCATGACTGACTTAAACAGGATAAGTGTATTAAAAAGCAACTTGTTCTCAACCGTAAGCCAGGAAAGGCAGGAATGCATCTGGCTGACATTAGATCTAATGTGGCAGCCCAGTACCAACCGTGCTGCCTTATTCTGAACAACCTGTAGCTTTTTGAGTTCACCCCTGGCAGCAGATGTCCACACTGTAGAGCAATAGTCAAGATGACAACACTAGACTCTGAACTATTTGACATAAAAGGGGACGGGCCATAAAAGAGCAACATTTCCTTGCGGAACTAATTGCTCTTCGCATTTTCACAATAATACAGGTGCTGGTCATAAAATTAGAATATCATGAAAAAGTAGATTGATTTCAGTAATTCCATTTAAAAAGTGAAACTTGTATATTATATTCATACATTACATACAAACTCATATATTTCAGATGTTTATTTTGTTTAATTTTGATGATTACAAATGACAACAAATGAAAATCTCAAATTCATCATATCAGAAAATTAGAATATTGTGAAAAGGTTCAAAATTGATGGCCCCTGGTGCCACACTCTAATCAGCTAATTAACTCAAACCACCTGCAAAAGCCTTTAAATGGTCTTTCAGTCTAGTTCTATAGGCTACACAATCATGGGGAAGACTGCTGACTTGACAGTTGTCCAAAAGACGACCATCGACACCTTGCACAAGGAGGGCAAGACACAAAAGGTCATCGCTAAAGAGGCTGGCTGTTCACAGAGCTCAGTGTCCAAGCACATTAATAGAGAGGCGAAGGGAAGGAAAAGATGTGGTCGAAAAAAGTGTACAAGCAAGAGAGATAACCGCACCCTGGAGAGGATTGTGAAACAAAACCCATTCAAAAATGTGGGGGAGATTCACAAAGAGTGGACTGCAGCTGGAGTGAGTGCTTCAAGAACCACCACACACAGACGTATGAAAGACATGGGTTTCTGCTGTCGCATTCCTTGTGTCAAGCCACTCTTGAACCACAGACAGCGTCAGAAGCGTCTTGCCTGGTGAGTGGTCCAAAGTCATGTTCTCTGATGAAAGTAAATTTTGCATTTCCTTTGGAAATCAAGGTCCCAGAGTCTGGAGGAAAAGAAGAGAGGCACTTCATCCACGTTGCTTGAAGTCCAGTGTAAAGTTTCCACAGTCAGTGATGGTTTGGGGTGCCATGTCATCTGCTGGTGTTGGTCCATTGTGTTTTCTGAGGTCCAGGGTCAACGCAGCCACATACCAGGAAGTTTTAGAGCACTTCATGCTTCCTGCAGCTGACCAACTTTTTGGAGATGCAGATTTCATTTTCCAACAGGACTTGGCACCTGCACACAGTGCCAAAGCTACCAGTACCTGGTTGAAGGACCATGGTATCCCTGTTCTTAATTGGCCAGCAAACTCTCCTGACCTTAACCCCATAGAAAATCTATGGGGTATTGTGAAGAAGAAGATGCAATACACCAGACCCAACAATTCAGAAGAGCTAAAAGCCACTATTAGAGCAACCTGGGCTATCATAACACCTGAGCAGTGCCACAGACTGATCGACTCCATGCCACGCCGCATTGCTGCAGTATTACAGGCCAAAGGAGGCCCAACTAAATACTGAGTGCTGTACATGCTCATACTTTTCATGTTCATACTTTTCAGTTGGCCAACATTTCTATAAATCCTTTGTTTTTATTGGTCTTCAGTAATATTCTAATTTTCTGATATGATGAATTTGAGATTTTCATTTGTTGTCATTTGTAATCATCAAAATTAAACAAAATAAACATCTGAAATATATGAGTTTGTATGTAATGTATGAATATAATATACAAGTTTCACTTTTTAAATGGAATTACTGAAATCAATCTACTTTTTCATGATATTCTAATTTTATGACCAGCACCTGTATAATTAATGTGGTGAGACCAAGACAGAGAACAGTCTACCATCACACCAAGGAGTTTGGCACTTTCAACTTGTTGAACCGTCAAGTCACAAAACTTTAGGTCAAGCTTTGGGCTTGCGGACATCTTGTGCCTTGAACCAATTACCATGCACTTAGTCTTAGAGATGTTGAGGGCCAGTTTGTTACTCACCACCCAATCATATACAACATTCAGTTCTTGGCTCAAAACCTGATTTAATTCACCGCATGAAGGTGCAGTATAATACAAAGTGGTATCATCTGCGTACAGGACAGTTTTGGCACTTTTTGTAGCCCAAACTAGATCATTAGTAAAGATTGAAAAAAGTAAAGGACCTAAACAGCTGCCCTGTGGAACTCCACACTCCAAACTTCTTCTACTGGAGAGGCTGCCGTTCAGATAAACCTTCTGTGATCTAAAAGACAGGTAGCTTTCAATCCACTTTAATGCCGAAGAATTAAAACCATAAAATTTAAGTTTCTCAGTTAATAAAGTATGGTCCAGAATGTCAAAAGCAGCACTAAAATCCATAGATTTATCCATCGCTTTAAGCCAGTCATCAGTCATATGAATCATTGCAGTAGAGGTTGAGTGGCCAGCTCTATATGCATGTTGAGAGTCTGTAAAAAGTTTGTTTTTTACAAAATAATCCTGAAATTGTGCATGTACCAATCTTTCCATAATTTTACTTAAAACAGGTAAAATACTTATTGGTCTAGAGTTCCCCTCATTAAAAGCAGATTTAGTACCTTTAGGTAAAGGAATAACTTTAGCCTCCTTCCAGATCCTTGGACATAGGCCCACATCCAAGCAACAATTAAAAATATGACAGATGGGAGCTGCTATGACACCAGCAGTCATTCTCAGCAATTTACTATCCAGGTTATCTAATCCAGCTAGTTTACTATCAGGAAGAGAACGGAGCAAATGTTCCACCCTATGGACGTCAACTTGTTTAAATACAAATTCACAACTTTTACCTTTCATTATAATGTTCTTAATACATTCATATGATCTAATGTTGTGTGAAGTGTTCATAGTCTGCCTTAATTGAGATACTTTCTCAATATAATAGTCATTAAAATGATTAGCAATATCACCTGGCTTTGTGAGAACAAATCCATTTGATTCAACAAAGGGTGTGCACACAGTTGTGTTCCGACCCATGATTTCATTTAAAACATTCCATATTCCTCTACTATCGTGCCTCGCCTCATATAACCTTCGTTTAAAGAAGTCCTTTTTTTATCTTATTCAATTATGTGACTTGATTACGTAGAGAACAGTATTTCCGCCTGTCATCAATAGATCCAGAAAGTACAAAGAGTTTTTTAGCTGAATCTCTCTCTGCCATTAGCGACCTAAGACTAAGGTCAAGCCAAGGGGCAGACCTATTTTTGACAACAAACTTTTTTAAGGGAGCATATTTGTTTACAGCATCCATAAACATTGACATAAATAGATCCAGTGCCGCTTCAGGGTTATGCTCACTACAAACCATATTCCAGTTTGCATTAGCGATTTCACTTACAAATAAATCTAATCTCTGTTACAGGGATATGTACCAAAGGCTTTTAAGGTTGCTGGAATTAAACCTCTGCTTAAGAAACCGTCTCTTGACCCAGATGACTTGGTCAATTATAGACCTATATCCAATCTTCCTTTCTGATCTAAAATTCTTGAGAAAGTAGTTGCCAAACAAGTGTGCGATCACTTCCACCATAATGAACTTTTTGAAGAGTTTCAGTCTGGCTTTAATTCAATTCAATTCAGTTTATTTATATAGCGCCAAATTCACAACACATGTCATCTCAAGGCACTTTACAGTTCAAGCTTTAGAGCTCATCATAGCACTGAAACAGCTCTGGTGAAAGTCACTAATGATATTCTCATGGCCTCAGATAATGGACTTGTATCTGTGCTCGTCCTGTTGGATCTCAGTGCTGCATTTGATCCAGTTGACTATAATATTCTTTTAGAAATACTTGAATATTTTGTTGGAATTAAAGGAACAGCACTAGACTGGTTTAAATCTGATCTATCTGATCGATTTCAGTTTGTTCATGTTAATGATAGATCTTCCTCATTCTCAAAGGTTACCTGTGGAGTACCACAGGGATCAGTGCTAGGACCAATTCTCTTTACTTTATACATGCTCCCAATTGGTAGAATTATTAGACAGCATGGCATTAATTTCCACTGTTATGCTGATGATACCCAGCTATATCTGTCTATAAATCCAGATGAAGCTAACCCATTACATAGATTACAGGCATGTCTGAAGACAGAAAAACCTGGATGACTCTTAACTTTCTGCTTCTGAATGCATACAAAACAGAAGTTATAGTCTTTGGACCAGAGTCTCTGAAAAAGAAACTGATTAGCCAGTCACTTCATTTGGATGGGATTAAACTGATTTCAGATAATAAAGTAAAAAATCTTGGTGTTATTTTTGATCAGGACCTGTCATTTAAATCCCAGATCTAAGAGGTTTCTAGAATTTCATTCTTTCATCTGAGGAATATTGCAAAAATGAGCAATCTCCTGTCCAGGGGTGATGCTGAGAAACTAGTCCATGCATTTGTTACTTCAAGGCTGGACTATTGTAATTCTTTACTATCAGGAAGTCCACAAACTGTAGTTAAAAGCCTTCAGCTGATCCAAAATGCTGCAGCCAGAGTTCTGATGAAAATGAAAAAGAGAGATCATATCTCGCCTATCCTGGCTTCTCTTCATTGGCTTCCTGTTAAATCAAGAATAGAATTTAAAATCCTCCTTCTCACATATAAAGCCTTAAATGGCCAAGCTCCATCTGATATCAGAGATCTGATTGTTCCTGATGTTCCTAACAGAGCACTTCGCTCTCAATCTGCAGGTTTACTAGTGGTTCCTAGAATTTCTAAAAGTAGAATGGGAGGCAGATCTTTTAGTTATCAGGCTCCTCTCCTGTGGAACCAACTACCAGTTTTAGTCCGTGAGGCAGACACCCTGTCTACTTTTAAGGCTAGGCTTAAAACTTTCCTTTTTGATAAAGCTTCTAGTTAGAGTGGCTCAGGTTATCCTGATCTATCTCTATAGTTCTGCTGCTATAGGCTTAGACTGCTGGAGGACATAGGGACCCCTTTTTCATCATTCTGCTTCATTCTATCTCTATTCTTCCACTCTGCAGAATCTGTTAGTTCAATCTCTAACGTTCTAGTCGGTGCTCAGTGGTCTTACCCCCAGGGGGGTGAGGGTTCTGAGCAGCTGGGGTAACTAGGTCCATGATGACTAGAGTTACCACTATTTATGTAGTCTAACTGGCCTGGGACTGCTCAGACTGGTCCACCTCTCCTTTGGTGGTCAATACTAGGGTGGATATTATCATCCCCTACTGGCCTAACAAAGGTTACGGTAGATTAAACAGAGAAACAAGAAATTAAAAAAAGAAAGTACGTAAGAGTACTAAACTATCCTTTCCCAGGAACTGAAGACTCAGGCTTCAGCTGTGCAAACAATCAGATCGGATCACTGGCCCAACTTTACCTGCACGAAGGACAGAACCACGACCCAAACCAGAACTTGCTCATAGAGAAACTGACCATTTGTGGCGACACTGAACCCAGGACCGAGTCTGGACCTTCTTGCTGATTTCTCTCCATGGAAGTTGTTTGTAAAGCTGGTCTCGGGTCACACCGGAACCATCGGTGTTACTCTGGGTCTCCAGGTACTGCTGGACGGCCCGCTTCAGCCGCTTCTCTTCATCAGCACTCCAGGCACCATGACTGCCACCTGGACATAAACCAGGGTCACATGAACCGTTCCGGACTGCCACCAGACTTACAGAGCTCCTCTCCTACCGATTGTGTCGAAGCGTTTCTGCAGCGAATGGATGCTGCGT